GCGCCCCGGTTTGCCCCGGCGGCTCGGCGGCGGGAGGGCACAGCGCGCCGGGCCCCAGCCTCATCGCCGGCTACCTCTTGCTGCCCCTGCCCGACAGGGAGCACGTTTCGCGGGCGCTCGACATCAACACCGGCCGGGAGTTGCGCTGCAAGGTAAGCCGGCGCCAGGCTCTTGGGACGGGGGGTGGGTGGGGGGAAGAAGGGCTCGAAGGGCTCTCCTTGCCTGGGCGCGATCCACAAAGCAGGGAAGCCGCTTGGATTGTATAAAGCCGGGAGCCGCGGCCCCCCTTCCCCCCCCCCCCGCGGTTGCTGTGCCTCTCCTCGGAAGGAGGCGCCGTCGGTGGCCCTTTGCTTTCCCTGCACTGCAGCCTCTGCAATCGGAGCCGCGACGCTCTCCAAAGGTGACGTTATGCAGGGCAGAAGTTCTCCGGCTTGACTTGCTTGTGGATCGGGACCGTTGCGGGGAGATACGCTTTTAAATATATATATGTGTGTGTGTGTGTGTGTGTACATATGCATGTGTGTGTGTGTGTGTATATACACACGCACGCGAGTGGCCATGGCCAGGATCCGCGGGCTTCCAGAGTGCTGCGGAAGCTTAAGGGCGCGTTGTTTGGAAGTAAATCCCGTTGGGTTCGTTAGGGCTTAATGGATGGCGAATGCCGAAGGAAAATGTGTAAGGTCGCGTGGCTTTGTTAAACGGCCCTAACTGTGAGCTAGACCGGGGCTGTGTGTCTGCAGACGACGCCGGCCGCCAGGCAAAATGCAATCGAAGAGAGCGAGGCTCTCGAGTCGCGATCCCTCTCGGTCAACCGCCGCGTCCAGCTGGCAGAAGGGGCAAGGTGGCGGCGTGCCCTGGTTGCAGAGGCGGTCGTGTCCTCTTTTGCAGAGGAAAGCGGAGCAGTCCTGGAAGAAGCGGGGTTGGAATTTCTCTCTCTGTGTTGGGTTTTGTGTTTTTTTTAATCGCCCCTGGAAAGGGCCTGGGTGTTCTCACCCGCTGTCATCCCCCCCCGTTCTCCACTCCCCTGGTGCGGAAGAGAGGCAGGCGGGCAGGAATTGGCTGTGACGAGCCGAGCTTTCCAAGTTTTCCATGAGGTGTCCTCCGCTCTTTAAATAAATACGCACAACAGTCAGTCGCTCGGTCTTGTTTCCAAAGCCCAGTCCAGGAAACCCGGGCCGCTGGGCGTTGGAAAGGCTGCCCCCTGCTGGTTGATCGATCGGGAATCAACCCTGCTGGCTGATGCTCTGCGCGCTGGCTTACTCCGAAGCCGTCCTATTGGAGTAAATGGGATCTGTTCTGGCTGTGTCACCTGGTACCTCGTGGAAGCGAACCGTTTAAGGAACGCCAGGTTGTGTGATTTCCCCCTCTCCTAAATTGTGCCAACTGAAAACGGCTGGAAGGAAGTGTTGGCATTACACAGAACTCTCTCTTTACTGACGATTTGCCTGCTGTTGAGTTGCAGCCGAGTTTCTGCAACCGTAGGCTTTCCAAAGCAAGAGGTGAAGAGAGGTGGTTTGCCCTTGCCTGGCTCTGTGTAGCAACTCTGGAGTTTCTTGGTGGCCTCCCATCCAAGCACTAACCAGCTCCGACCCTGCTTAACTTCCACGACCTGATGCGGGGAGGGCTAGTCAGGGCTACTCAGACTGCTGTGTTTTCCGTGAGGTGCCGAGAGTAAATATAGAACAGGATGTCATGTGGGCAGGTTGCTTGAGTCTGCAAGTTTGGCCGAATTGGCGGCTTCATGTCCTTTATCAATAGCAAACCTTCAGACACGGTTTCCACCAATGGGACAATGTCTTTGGAAGGACCTTTAATGCCGGAAGACCAAAAAAAACCACTTGGTGGCAGCTGGTATCTAGGAGGCTGTGAAGGCAAGGTCGTCTTCATTGGAGGCATTCTTGTGTAGTCCTTGATGTCCAGCAGTGGACATATGCAATGCTTCCTCCAGTTTGGTGTAGTGCTTAAGTGTGCTCTAATCTGGGAGAACCACGTTTGATTCCCCACTCCTCCACCTGCACCTGGCTGGATGACCTTGGGCAAGCCGTAGTTCTGATAAGAGTCATTCTTGAAAAAAAGAGCAGTTTCTGTCAGAGCTCTCTCAGCCCCACCTACATCACAGGGTGTCTGTTGTGGGGAGGGGAAGGGAAAGGAGTTTGTAAGCCGCTCTGAGACACCTTTGGGTAGTGAAGGGCGGGGTATAAATCCAATCTCTTCTATTCTTCTCTAAGCTGTGGAGTCCTGTGAGCAAAGATTCTACTTTGTGAGCTGCTTGGCATTAAGGTTGAGAGCGAGCGAGCGATTTGGCTACTGCATAAATCAGTTTGCTCTGGAGCTATCCTTCCAGAGCAAAGGCAAAAATGTGTGAGCCAGAGGCTAAAAAACTGTGAGCTAGTTCACAGTAACTCAGCTTAGAGGGAACAGTGGACATATGGGTGGTTGGCGGGCTGTTATGTTCTCGTTGTGAGCTAGTAACTTGAGCAGGCCTGCCTACAAGGTGGCTTTGAATTCGAGACTCGAAGGCGGCATCTAGTCCGGAGAGAGTTCTGGAGCGACAGGAACTTCCAATCTGTTTGTGTGTGTTTTCCCCTGGAGGAGTTGTGCCGGGTTGGATGAACAGGAACGATGCCATTAAGATGTATGTCACGATTTCCAGTCAAGCCTAGGATGTGAGTAACCTCGCGCTGGCTTACAGGTCATTGGGAGAACATGACTTGAAGCCTTGCGAAATGTTCGTGAATAAAACATGAGAGGCCTTAATCCTCTTCTTCCCTTGGTTAAGGTTTGGCGGCTTCTGAAATCCTGGCAGGTTGCAGTCACCTTTGCCTGAATCACCGCGGGCTGCAGGAAAGGTGGAGACTTCCGTGGTTTACGGTTGGGGCTCCCCTCTCCTTGTCGTTTTTTCTTCATGCCGGCTGGTTAGTCTAGATTGTTTATACAAAGCCACGTTGGTCTGGCCTTTGCCGTCCTGGCTCTCGTGTGACGGTTTTTGGTGCTGAGGCCCTCGGGCAGTGGGGCTTTTGCCTGATGTTGGAGCGAAGTGGTATCTTGTTCCACTTTGATACTTGTGAATGGGGGAACCAGGAATTGGCAGGTATCCCAGAAAAGGAGGTGACGTTTATACAATGGCAGGATCTTAGTTCTGGGGGAAGCTGGCCGAGGTAATTCTTACGAATAATGTGGCTTTGCCGGTACAGGCCAGGCTCTGTCTGGCATTCATTTAATGGCACTGGCTGCTGAAGTTTTCAGGTCTTTCCCAAAATCTGAGATTTGGAGGTATACTGCCTTTGTTCATGGAGGTTCTGTTTACCAAGATAGCCTGTCCTCAGTTGTGCATATTTACAGAAATTTGCTAAATATACATAGGAATCCCATTTGTTTCATTCATAATTCGCTACTGCTGGAAGGGGTGGTGGCTGCAGGCATAGGCAGCTTCGAGAGGGGATTAGATAAACATATGGCGCAGAGGTCCATCAGTGGCTATTAGCCACAAGGTATAGATGGAAAGGAGCTGCGGTGGCTCAAGTGGTTAAGATGCTGAACTGCAGGCTGTGGAAGGTCAGTAGTTCAGCAGTTCGAGACCCGAGTGCCGCGTGACGGTGTGAACTCCCGTCTCTAGTTCCAGCTCCTGCCAACCTAGCAGTTCGAAAGCAAGAAATTGCAAGGAGATAAATAGGTACCACTTTGGTGGGAAGGTAACAGCGTTCCATGCGCCTTGGTGTTTAGTCATGCTGGCCACATGACCATGGAAACATCTTAGGACAGCGCTGGCTCTTCGGCTTTGAAACGGAGATGAGCACCACAACCCTAGAGTCGGATTCAACTGGCTTTCGAGCAAGGGAACCTTTACCTTTACTTTACTATAGATGGAACACTGTGTCTGGGGCAGTGATGCTCTGTCTTCTTGGTGCTGGGGAGGGGGCAACAGTGGGAGGGCTTCTAGAGTTCTGGCCTCACTGGTGGACCTCCTGATAGGACTTAGTTTTTGGCCACTGTGTGACACAGAGTGTTGGACTGGGTGGGCCATTGGCCTGATCCAGCGTGGCTTCTCTTTTGTTCTTAAGGTATAGAACTCCTCTGAAAGCCTTTGTATACCCGTCTCCCCCTTGGCATTTTAACCCGTGCCCCATTCCTCTTTGCCACGTCTCTGCTCTGTCCCTTTCCCAACAGCGATGTGTAAATTTGCTGATGGACCCATGGTACTTGTTGCCACATCGACATGCTCGAGAGCAAGCCGCTTCAGTGAATCCAATATTTCAAGCTTTTCACATAGAGTCAGCGGATGCGAGCCATTCTTCGCGTGCGCCTTGCCTGCGACTAACCATCCGTTCTCTCCTCTGGTCCTGTCTCCAGGTCTTCCCCCTGAAACACTACCAGGACAAGATCCGGCCTTACATCCAGCTCCCCTCGCACAGAAACATCACCGGCATCGTGGAAGTGATCCTGGGCGACACCAAGGCCTACGTCTTCTTTGACAAGGACTTCGGCGACATGCATTCCTACGTCCGGAGCTGCAAGCGTCTGCCAGAGCAGGAGGCCGCCCGGCTCTTCAAGCAGATAGTCTCCGCTGTGGCTCACTGCCACCAGTCGGCCATAGTCTTGGGGGACCTGAAGCTCAGGAAGTTCGTTTTTTCAAGCGAAGAAAGGTGAGCGAGGATTCGCAACAATCCTATGTCATGCTTTGTCTGGTGGGATCTCGGTTCGTCCCTGGCTGATAGAGAGCTACCTTGGCAAGGGAATTTGGGGGGCGGGGGGCAAAGCTATGCTCTCTACCTACTCATCTAGATGGTCAGAAGCCAGCTGTCTTGTTCCCCCAAATTGTGTCTGTAATTAAGCTTTTGAGGTTGGATGGTATCCTTTGGAATGCGTGTTGACACCTCTGAGAGCTGTCGTGGTATAGTAGGCAGAGTGTTGGGCTAAGATCCAGGGAGACCTGGGTTCGAGTCTCCCTTTTCTAGCGTGGAAGCCCCCTGGGGTGGCCTTGGACCTGTCATAAACTGTCAGCTTTGCCTACCTCGCAGGGTGGTAAGTTGTGAGAGAATGGAGGAGGTAGGCAAGTAATGTTCTTAGCTGCTTTTAGGCCCAGGTGAGGCGAAAAGCCACTTATACATAAATAAATGCACGGTAATTCATGGGCTGGAGTTCTGTGTGTCGACACAGAATCGGAGAAGGCACCTGGCAATTAAGAGAATTTGCTTACCTGATGACTTAAGCATGCACTGCGGGTTTTGTTTTTGTCATGCGGTTCTTGATTGTGTACACTATATCAAATGATAGTTAGCATTTTGGAGTCTCCCAAGTGTTTCAAATACTGGATCTCTGCCCTCCTTACACTTGTGGGGGTTATAGATCCAGGTGGGTAGCGATGCCCCCTGTAAGCTGTGGAGTCTTGTGAGCATTACAGTTGTGAGCGAGCGATTTGGCTACTGCATCAATTCGTTTGCTCTGGAGCCCTCCTTCCTGAGCTGAGACAAAATGTGTGAGCCGGAGGCTAAAAAACCGTGAGCTAGCTCACACTAACTCAGCTTAGAGGGAACACTGGTGGGTCGCCGTGTTGGTCTGAAGCAATAGAATAAAGTTTGAGTCCAGCGGCACCCTTAAGACTGACAAAGTTTAATTCTGGGTATAACCTTTTTGTGTATTTTTATATTTATTTATTTATTTATTTATTTTGGGATTTATATCCCGCCCTACCCATACGGCCCAGGGCGGCACGTCTCATTTTTGCAGACTGTATGCTGTGAGGGAGCAGGATGTCTCAGGCAGAATCTTTGTGAACGGGAAGTTTTTCCTGGTGCTGCTCACTGTCGATGAGCCACCTGTCACTCCCTGAGTTATGGAACACGGACACACGTTTTGCATATGAGCCCTTTTTTTGCCACACTCAAGAGCCTGCATGTAATCGATGGGATTTTGACCTTAGGCCACGGGTGTGCATATCTCTGTATGTCCAGTTGCAAACTGATTTTGAAACTCCACGCTGTTTCCAAAGCAGATGGTCATGTGGCGTTGGTGGCCCGGGGGGGGGGGGGTTGCTGTCCAAAGAACACAAGCAGGAGGCCATGGTAGGTGTGTGGAAGTCCTCGGGCAACTCTTGGAAACTTGGCCTCTGTTTTGGTGTAGACAGACTTGTCATGCCTTTCTCTAGACTGATTCAGTGGGTTTCAGTGACTCTTCCAGGGGAACTATGAGGACTTCTTAATATTTAAGTGATTTGGATCTCATCTCATTGAACTGGGATCTTCAAGGCCATTCACACATTCTTCCTACACGGGTGATGGGAGAAGGCACGTACATGGTGTGTGAAGGTGGAACATGCCTCTGTTTTGCCAGCTGTACGAGCTGGGAATTCGGTTGTCGGTCACGGCTTCCTAGCCTATGTACACATCCCAAAGTAAAGGTGCCCCTGGCCTCAAACATTGGTCTCTTGCTTCAGACAAATGCAGCTACCCACCTGATACTGATCTGTGATGCTTTCTCCTTCACATCCCAGTTCAGGTGCAGTCCCATTTGTGTCTTTCGGACGCATCCCTGGCCCGACAGCCTTTAACTAAGTGGCTTTGCTAACTTAGCAGAACTGAGAAAACCCCACTGGGATTATTGGGTTCCGGAATGGCTTTGCCTTGATTTGGGTGGTGGATCTAGAAGGGTTATCTGGCTGGTGTGCAAGAACACCCGCTCGACTGGTTTGTGCATAGCGCAGGGCCTGTGTGTGTTTCAGCCTTGGTGAAATTACAGGGTTTGCCGGGCTGGACAACAGCAATTTAGAATTTAGCCCACGTCTTCATTCAGATGAATTACGTTCTGGTAAAGGCTGTGAATGAGACTGGAGGGGGGAAGCCATTGGTTGGAAGTGGGGGTACAAAGGCCAGGAGAAAGAGAGGGGAAGAGGGGGCTGTAGATGCACCCGGAAACGTGGAAATGGGGTCCGTCCGGCGTGGGGCGGCTCAGTGGCGTGTGGGTTATGACCCGTGGCGGAAACTTGTCTGCACACCTTTCGGTTGTGTAATTGTAGCCAGTTTGGTGGGAGGCAGTTCCTATTCTTGGAGAGGGAGGAGGACAGAGGCCACACCTTGTTCCCGAGGTTGGACCGGGCACCCACCTGTCCCCCCCACGCATCAAGCCGGGGGCACGAGTTCCCTTGAAACTGTGGCTTTTGAACAGGGAGGCACACATTCCCTCCTTCCCTGTCCTTCCCTTGACAACCATTAGGAATCACCTCTGCACCAACACAACCCCTGGTCTGCACATCTGCCGCGCACTGATTACTGTTGAGCATGGTTTAAGTCAGTGCACATGTAATGCTAACTCATTTTTGGGGTATTGGGATATTTTTTGAGACTTTCCCCCAGTACCTAAATTTTGTTTGCTGGGGTTTTTTTTTAGGCACTTACCTTGTATGTTATATCTTTAAAAAGCTGTTTTCTTTTTAAAAGGGGGGGGGGCGTATGCTGGAGAGAAGGGACAAGGACACGTATTTGGTATCATGGTTACAGTGTCAGCCTAGGGCTTGGGAGACCTGAGTGCGAATCCCGACTCTACCATGGAAACTTCCGGGTGACCCTCAGGTACTCTCAACCATACCCTACCTCACAGGGTTGTTGTGAGGATAAAATGGAGGGGAGGGGGAAGGCATCAGCTGCTTTGGGTCTCCACTGGGGAGGGAGCCAGGGGGTGTACCTGAAGGAAATAAGCAGAGCCTGGCTTCTTTGCAAAATGACAGCTTGCAGGGAGCGGAAGGGAGCTTTTGCAGCAGAGCATAGCACTGAGGTTCCTGCAGAATCTGCTCTAATTGCCTCCAAGTAGGGCTTCTGCCTTGTTCTCCTTCGCAGAGCAGGTGTCGTGTGTTTCCCAGGTCCGTTGTATCACAGATGTTCATGCCAACAGCAGGGCATGCAAAATTTCTTTGCCTAGGACCTTCCATAAACTGGAGGAGGGGCGGTGGTGACGTGCGAAATTGCTTCCATGAAACTCATTCATTTGCGAGAGCTGGAATCAGTCATCCGTGGGCATTTGAACTCTGTGGGTGTCCTGCTTTTGACACGAACAGAAACAATTTCACACTCGAGGGCTGGGAGCCTTGTGTTCGCTGGCTCTGAAGTGATGCCAGAGTCAGCCGTGGATTGTGAAGCCTCTGCAGGCCGGGGATATCAGAATTAGCTCTGCGTTGTACTGCAACAGGAAAAGCCTGTAGTATTTAATTCTGAGGGTTGGGGGGTGTTTTTTTGGGTGGCGGTTCTTTGAAAAGAAGCGAGGGGAATACACTTTCCGTTTTCCTTGTTCTGGGTTTCGTCTTCAAGCCAGCTAAACAGTGCGTGGGTTCAGGCCTCTCGGATCCCAGAGGGGCTGACCATACTGAAATCCCTTTAGGTAAAGGTAAAGGTTCCCTTGCTTGAAAGCCAGTCGAATCCGACTCTAGGGTTGCGGTGCTCATCTCCGTTTCAAAGCCAAAGAGCCAGCGCTGTCCGAAGACGTTTCCGTGGTCGTGGCCGGCATGACTAAACACCCAGGCGCACGGAACGCTGTTCCCTTCCCACCGAAGTGGTACCTATTTATCTACTTGCAATTTTTTGCTTTCGAACTCCTAGCTTGGCAGGAGTAAATCCCTTTCCTCTGGCTTAATTAGATTGGAGACCTGAGCATTGGAGGAGATGAAACTTTCCAGTCTCCTGTACCTTGGAAACCGGTCAGTGTACGAACTAGTGTTGTGGGCCACTCCTGCCTAAATCTCACCATCTAACTAGGAGTTGGCCGGCCTTCCAGAACCATTTTTGAAAGACATCATGTTCATCCTGAAATCAGTCTCAAGTTTAAAAATCCAAGTTTCTGGTCCTCTTTAAACTGCTGAGCTGGTGAAAATCCCACTTGGGGAGAATTAACCTAGCAGGGCCCAGTGGAGCATGTTCTGATCAAGCACCGCAGATCACACGTTTAGATCTTGCTTCACCTCCGCTGCAATTGTCAGTGGAGGTGACACAAGCACATGTCAGTCAATAGGGTTGCCAGGTCCGGATTGAGAAAAATCCCTGGAGTTTTGGGGGTGGAGCCTGGGGAAGGCGGGGTTTGGTGAGAGGAAAGAGCTCAGCGGGGTATAATGCCATAGAATCCATCCTCCAAAACAGCTGTTTCCTACAGGGGAAATGATCTCTTTCATTGGGAAATTGGTGGCAATTCTGGGAGATCTCCAGGCCCCACCTGGAGATTGGTTACCCTATCACCCAGTGATAGAAGCACAGTAATTGGGGGGGGGGATTGATTGGTATGCATGTTTGAACTGTCAACACAGTTCAAAGGACCGGCTCGTAGAGAGAGAAGTATGACCTCTTCTCTCTTCCCCATTCCCTTTCTGCCCAAGATCTTAAAAAAAAATATTGAATAGAGATATAACTCTACATTTTTGAACTTAAAGCAAAATTCTTATACAAATGGTTTTGGTGGAAAAACTGTTTAACATTCTGATATTGGAGGAGGTAACAAAATAGATGTAATAAGATGGATATGACCCCCTATTTGTTTGTAATATATGTTTGTTTGTCTTTGTTAGATATATAATAAAAACTGTTATATATATAAAATTTTGAATAGAGCATTATGGGTATGTCGGTGTATAAACCAGAGAGAAATCGTTGTTATGTGTGACTGCTTGCGATAGGTTGGACCACTTGCCGAAATTGCGAATTGCGTCCAACGCACAGGGAGTTTAGACACGACAGCTGTTGCACAGGCAGACTCTGTAGCGCCTCTTTGGCAACCAGAGGGTTAAGCAATGCCCGGCAAGACGTTAGCTCAGCAAGCACAGGTGCGGAGCTCTGATGCCCTGTCAGCCAGTCAGAGGGCAGGCCGGGTAGGTTGAGTAATATTTTCCGTTTACAGAACCCAGAGGGAGGGAGGGGGGCTATCTGCATCAGGACAGGAAGGTCACGCCGAGGACAGGGAGCAATCAATGCGTTTACAGGCCAGCGAAGCAGTTCGGGAGACGGAGAGCAGTCAGGAGCCAGGGAATATCTAATCGCCAGTGCAGAGCTCTGGGAATAGGATGTTTGCATAAAAGCTGGGTAACCTGCAAGGCCAGTTTGTGTGTATATCTCTCTCTGTGTGTGTACGGAAAAATATATCTGAGCTCAAAGACTTCTGACTATTTCAGGAACAAAAGGGATGTGGGTTTTGGCTGGGATCCACGAGCCAGTTAAGGCTTGACGTCACCAGGACTAAGCTGGCTTCCAGCCAAGCTCTTTGCCTTGGTGAATCTGGTTTAGCTTTAGTGAAATCTCAGGGGACGAACAAGGCATGCAGGGAAAATTGCTTGGCAGCCGAATGTGTGAATGGACTCAGAGTCCAAGCGTTGTGCGCGCGCAAGGGCCCGTTTGCGTGACTCGATGTTGCAATCGAGCAGTGACCGTGACAGGCTGAACCAGCCCTGGTGAGCAAGCAATGGCTTGTTTACTCCTGAGTAGTCTTATTCAGATTACTATATTGCACCATTATAAATGGCCTTGAGGCCCCGCTGTGTGACCTGTGGTGTTTTGGAGTGGTCTAACAACGGTGTCTGCATGAAGTAACGTACATTCAGACTTGCTGGTTACCATCACCAAATCGCCTAGCTGTTGAGGATCCAGATGACTGTCTCAGTTGAGAAGACTTGTGTTTGAGTTGATACTGAATGAGCTAGTATTCTTATTTTTGGGAAGGGACTATACAATCGGGCTAGAGTGAGGAAGCTGAGAAGTAGATGGGTTCTCTGAAGAGGAAGGAATCGAGGGGTGAATGTAGAAGAATCTGTGCCCCTGGGATTTTTCGAGACAAGATATGGTGTTTACCTGGTATCTTTGGCCACTGTGTGACACAGTGTTGGACTGGATGGGCCATTGGCCTGATCCAGCATTGGCTTCTCTTACATTCTTATTGGATGATCCATAGCGTGTGGTCTTTGATGGCTCCTTTGCATATGGAAGTCAACATTGCCAGTTGGCAACAGCACAGAGGGATCATAAATGCGTGAATAGGTCCAGGACACTTGCGTCATAACACACTGGCCCAACCACCTTGCAGGCGCTGACCTTTGGTATAGGTTACATTTCTCACAAAGTTGCTGTCACTTGGGAACAGTGCCTGGAAGTGCTTCAGTTTTTTTATATTTCCTTCTCTGCTGGCTGTTGGCGTGGTTTAGTGACCTGTGTTTTGGTCTCTTCTGTTCTCCAGGACGCAACTGAGGCTGGAAAGTTTGGAAGATACCCACATCATCAAAGGGGAAGACGACGCCTTGTCGGACAAACATGGCTGCCCGGCCTACGTCAGCCCAGAAATCCTAAACACAACTGGGACTTATTCCGGCAAGTCAGCTGACGTTTGGAGTTTAGGAGTAATGCTGTACACCCTCTTGGTGGGACGCTATCCCTTTCATGACTCGGACCCTAGCGCCCTGTTTTCAAAAATCCGCCGCGGACAGTTCTGTATCCCCGATCACGTCTCCCCTAAAGCCAGGTGTCTCATCCGCAGCCTGCTGCGACGAGACCCCTCCGAGAGACTCGCGGCGCCAGAAATTTTGCTCCATCCTTGGTTTGATGCCGTTTTGGAGTCTGGACACGTTGGCCACGACTTGGGAGCCTCCGATCAGATGGTCCCGGAAAACTCAAGAGAGGATGACGATATCAGTTCCTTCTTCTGCTAGTCCCGATTTTGCCCTTGAGGGAGGAGGACGTCGTATCCACGTACAGCTCCCCCCCCCCCCCCCCGTGTGTGCGTGTGTCCTGTTTAACTTTGGTTTTCCATGTTGTAAATGCATCGCGTTCCAAAATCTGATTGTGGTCAGGACAGTAGCAGTGATCTTAAGCACACTTCCGCCAAGTCCCATTTAAAAAAAATCTCCAGGGAAGCAAAGCAGAAACAAAAAGGGTGCAATTGTCCACCTGGTTTCATTTGGGCCGTGTCCCACTGAACTCCCTGGGGACTGCTGGCATCTGGACCCCTTGGCCTATAACTCTGGACAGTTTTACTCTGGACTTCAGTGAGAGAACGTACGGATGGCCCTAGAGTGAGCACTTTGCAAATTGCAGCCTCTTGCTGGATTCCCCTTTTTTTAAAAAACCCAAAACACAACGCAGGCTGGGTTTTCCTTGCTCTTTGGTGTGTGTGTGTGTGTGTGTGTGTGCATGTTCAGATCCACACTGTGTTTGCTGGGACTGGCAGCTTTGTGCTGCCGAAGCAACTAGAGGAGAAAGCCGGCTGGGTTCTCAAATGTCTGGTACATTATAAAATGACAGAGCCATCCGCTGAGCTTTGATTACAGAATCGTCTTGCCGGTGACGTAAGAGAGAAACACGCACCCACAGTTCTTGCCTTCTCCCACTGCCAGGCAAAAGCCACAGGATGGTCACAGTGCAGAAAGTTAATAAATTGGATTATCTCTGTAAAAGAAGTCCACATCCGTTGATTTCAAAACCAGTTCTCAAAAAAGTTGATGGGAACGGGGGCCCTCCAGACCGAATTTCCCCAAACTGCTGCTTTGGGTGCAAGCATCGGGGAATCGGCTTGAAATCAATAAGATTTTTCTTCCAGTCTGGGGGAGAAAAAAAACCCCACAGCCTTCCTGGGTGTGTGTGTGTGCCTTTTTCTGCATCCCGATTTCCTAATCGGGGTACTAAAACTCTTTTAAGTTTATCCCTTGATCCACAGCTCAAGTATCAAATGTAAACTTTGCTTCACTCTGATGATTTCTAGATGATGTTGGCTTCAGTCCCCGGGCTTATTTTTTGTCGAGGACCAGAACCATTAAAATGGCAAGGGTCCTGACTGGCCTCAACAAGGAGATAAAATAGCCTCCCCCCTCCCCCGATTCCTGAACATTTATTGGGAAGACTGGTTTCGGTGGGTCTTACTTCCAAGTGACGTGTCTCCGACTGGGATCACAAATTGTAAAAAATTTTTGCACTGTGACCCCGTTATCAGTTTCCCACCTCTGTGGCAGTTAAAATTCCAGTGGGTAGTCTGGATGCAACTAATGACCCAGCCATAGAATGCTTTTAATCCCTTCTGTTTACCACTAACTCCTAATGCAGTATCTTGAGCATTGCATCTCAAAGGAAGAAACAATGGCTGTTCTCTGTAGTAGTTAGCTGAGGAGCCCTTTCGGCTCTTCCTACCTGGGAGATTTGGGTCTTAAGAAGGCACAGACGTGGCATTTGCTGAAGAATATATCTCTGTTTGTATGTCTAGCTAAGAAAATTAACATTCAGCCAGCCATCTTTCTAACTTCCACAGGATGCACCTGTGTGGTCAAAGAGGTGTGGGGCATAAAGTGATCTAGAGCGGCCGCTGGTATCTTTATGGAGCTGTATAGGCTCACGTTTTGCTATCACAGCCATCTGGGAAAGTGGCAGCTGTTTGCATCCTGTGGTGATGGAGAATTTGGGCAGCGGAAAAGGTGACTTGCTCAAGGCTTTCGCAGTTGGTCGGTGGCAGAGGTGGGCGTAGGTTCCCGGCCTGTTGGATCAGATGCATTTGGGTGTAAATGTTCTAGCCACAGATCTCACTGTTGAAGCAAGAGCGGGGGACAAGATCCCATGTTCTGGCAGCTCAGGCCCCCAGTTTAAAGGATCTCTGCTAGCAGAAGCTGAGAAAGACCTGGGACCATGGAGAGCCGCCGCCGTTCATAGTACACATGAAGCTGCCTTATACGGACTCAGACCCCCTCCGTCCATCAAAGGGCAGTATTGTCTCCACAGACTGGCAGCAACTCCCCAGGATCTCAGGCAGAGGCCCTTCACATCACCTGCTGCCCAGTCCTTTTAACTGGAGATGCTGCCAGGGATTGAACCTGGGACCTTCTAAATGCAAATCAGAGGCTCTGCCACTGAGCCATGGCCCCTCTCCTAGATGCACCGGAGCTAGACTGGCCGAGAACCTTCTCTCTGCACAACGCTCCCCTCCACAGAGTCAGCGTTGAAGGGGTAGCCGTGGTGCTGAAGTCTCTATCCCGCTAAAATATAGCCGCTGTTTGCTTCTCCAGCGAGGGATCGAAAGGGCTTGCTTGGGTCTGTTGTGTCAGCATTGTTGGGTGTCGCTTTGGAAATGGGACTGTGTACCCAAACACCGAACTGCATCAGCCGAGGGTGGAGCGGCCTAACCCGAGAGACGGCGATGAGCCCGATCTCGTTGCGTGTGCGTTTTGTGTGTGCGTGTTGTCACCTTTCATTTGGGATTTGCACTGCGTCCCTCACCCTTTGTGTCAAAGGGGGGGAAAAATAATTATCCATTTCAGTGAACAAACAAGACCATATCCTGATGTTCCTATTTGAACATTCAAGGACGGTGTGCCCCGGGAGATATTTCTCCTCCCTCTTTCTCCCCTCTTGCTTTGGCTGTGATGATTTTGCATTGGATAAGCGCTCTTGGATAAAGAATACACTTGAGGTGTTGTTCTCCTGGGTGAACTCTTCTGACAAAGGGGGACAGCTTCAGTTTGGCTGCTTGGTCTACCACCCAGGTGACTAGACCAGGAAGGTTGGCTGGTCCTTCCTTGCCTTGGGAGCGAGCCATAGGTGAACGTAGGCATGGAGTAGGCCCTGGAGCTAGTGGAAGCTTTTAAAAAAATATTTTTTCATTGTTTTTTTTTTTAAAGGAAACAGTAACAGTGAAATTTTTAACAACCGCAGAATCCACCAACAAAGAATAGTGAACCTTTAAAATTCATAGAAGCACTATAACATTGAAGGAACATGTTGCAAGTACAAGACAGCCCTGTTACGCCAGGATAGTAGTAGTCACAATACCCAACTATGGCGTATAGAATGATAATATTGTGAATGTTGCGAAGAACTAATATTTTCCAGTATTCCAGTTTTTCCAAAATTGAATGCCATCGCCCGTAAAATGAGTCAGAGTTATATGAAGAATCATTAATATCAAGCCCATCTGAAGTTTTATCCATTAACAGGTGGTTCCATAAATTAGAATACCAGTCCCGCACACAAAGTGGACTTGTTCGTTTCCAATTGGTGGCTTTGACCTAAGGACTTTGTGTGTACTTCTTTGCAAGTCTCTCTCTCTCTCTCTCTCTCTCTCTCTCTCTCTCTCTCTCTCTCTCTCTGTGTGTGTGTGTAGATGTGTGCAGAACCAACTAAATTTAAGCCCGGTTGTATACAACTTCGAAAGCGGATGTGCTCATTAAGGGTACAGCTAAAAAGTTAAGCCAGGTGTAGTTTTGCTCTCCAAAGAACTCTGGGGGAAGTGTTTTGTGCCGAGCCGTCTGAAATCTCTAATAAAAGACTGCATATCCTCAGAGAAGCACCATTTCCCCGGGATTCTTTGTGGTTTTGCTTTCCAAAGAACTCTGGGGAACGCCTTTTGTGTTGAGTCGTCTTCTGGACTCTCTAACGAAAGACTGGAAATCCTCAGAGAAACATCATTTCCCAGGATTCTTTGTGGAGTAGACAAGAAGTGTGGTACAAGAAACCAGTTTGGCCTAGATACTGAAGTATATAATGTTGATGTTCCTGACAAATTGGGATAATTTCACAGGTTCTCTTTTTTAAGTTATTTTTTAATGTAAATCTTTATAAAGAAGGTAGGCCACTATGCTGTTGTGAGAGTTGTGTGCCTCATCTGCTTGCTATGTATTTGGTACAGTGACATCATTGAAGGTAGCTTTTTTTTAAAAAAATGGCTGTAATATGTGTGTCTCCTAAAACCTGAGGGCGTCAGCAGTTGAAATGTGAATTATGGCTGGCAAATACTAACTTAACAGAATCAAGAGAATTAGGTGGAAAAATCTTTTTTTGACTTTTGATTGCACTAAAGCTCTTATGATTGCTTTGACATATATTTGTATCTGTGATACAGTTTTTTAAATCTCCTCAGACCTGCCTCTCAGTCTGTATATATTGGTAGGTGCCAAGCTAATAACACTATGTCGGATCTCTGTAAATGTTGTACATATTTGAAAATGAAGTTGTAAAATTCCTGTACAAAATGTTTAATAAATCTGGTTTCATAACAAAACTTGGTTTGTCGTTCTCCTCTACGGATGACGCCTCTGGGGTAGGAAAATACCTGCCTATTTGGGGGGTGGAGCTTGAGGAAGGCGGGGTTTGGTGAGGGGAGGGGCCTCAGCAGGTACAAAGCCACAGAGTCCACCCTCCAAAGCAGCCATTTTCTCCAGGGGAACTGATCTCTGTCGGCTGAAGAAATTCTGGGAGATCTCCAGGCCCCACCTGAAGGTCACAACACAACAAACCTTTATTAGCATAACAGCAGTGGCCTTGGTTCAGGGATACAGGAAAGGGGGGGGAACCAAACAGGTAGTTAAGTACTCATTCTGACAGAAAAGACTTCTCCTAAATGCAGAATACAGGAAGTTTGCCACTGCTTAGATGAGATCAACCCTGTTTGAGGCTAGAAGGTTCATAATCTTACTTTCCTCAGATTTGCCCTCCAGGGATCGCAGTATAGGATCGAGGTGATAGGCACGTAAATCCTGGTCAAGTCTACAGGATAAAAGTACATGGTCCGTTCCTTCAATCTCCTTTAGCCCACATGGGCATAACCTATCAGAGAAAGGTGTTTTTTTAAAATCTCTCATATAGCACAGTTGAGGGGAGCACCTTTTTTATTTTTTTAAAGGAGTGGGGATTCGAACCTAGTTCTCTTGGGCACTCAGACTGCTCCACTGTGCTGGCACCCCTGTAGGCTCTCTGTTGCCATAGCTAAAGGGAGACTGAAACGGAGCA